GTTGTATTAAATCTAAACTTGGTTACATTTCGAAATTTGTATATAATGCTTGCATTTAACTTGATTAATTTCAGAATTCATGAGGTGTTTCTTCTAATTCGTCAATTCATTTCAGATATTCTGCCAGCATTCGCAGGTTTGAACTTAATAAAATCTCAGCCATAAGCCTTTTCCCATGAACATTTTCCCGTAATTAATTCACAACCCACTGGCTCCCTTTCCCCCGAGAGTTTCACTTAAACATGGCCGCAGTAAATTGCTTTACAAATTGCAACAGTTTATGCCTAATTATATTTAAATTTGACAGGCCATTGGCTTTGTCTTTGATGGGGCGAATAGGGCGCCAATGACCTTACCCCTCGTCCTTCGGCCGCCCAAAAGTCAAGATGTCGGCCACGCCCACCTTCCAACGAAATCGCAGCCCAGCCCCCTACAAAGACAGACGGAAATTGGAAGGTGGCAACAGCAGCTGATAGCTGTAATCCGACGAGCTTAGACCACCCCAAACCACCTCAGAGAAACCCTACTTCTCATTTTTTCCAGACCCGTCGGAAGGAGAATGGCCCGGCAGTAATTCACACAATAAGCCGCAGACAGGCAGCTAAGGGAAAAAAAAAACAAATTTAATGGCGGGAATCAGGGGCATTAGCAGAAGAAATACTCATTAAAATATTGTAAACAAATTGGGGAAATTTGGAATGGAAAATGAAGTGAGTTTTTTGTTTTGAATTATAGTATATACTTTATTATTAAACAAAAATTATAATTAACAAGAGTTGTGTGTTTATTATTATTCATTACTTATTATTATAATATTTACAAAACATGTTTTATAAACGGATAAGTTTCTTAAAACTTAAAGTTTTTATTACTTCATTTACAGTTATATACTTTGTTTATAACTTATTTAATTTTAAATTCTAGTAAAACCAAGAAGCTTTTGATACCGTAGAAAATTTCAGGTATAAATACATGATGGAGAAAGCAGAACGGGCAGAAATGAGAAAAGAAAATTTCCAGAAGCTGGCAGCTTGTGGCACGTTCCACCCACACATGCACAGGCTCACGCACACACCTGAGAGAAGCTAAAGAGGTGCGGGCAGACTTGTGGCATGCCTCAAAGGCAAATGTGGCTCAGACAAAAACGCAGAGAGAGACATTTCGGCATGCCAAAGCAAAAGATGGGTTCAAAAATGTAAAATAAAAAAGTACTCCACACACTGGAACTTTGCTAGCTCACCTCTTTAACACGTAAGCGACAATTACGGTGCTGCAGTTGCAGTTGCAAGATACAGATACATCAGCAACAGCGGCCAGCAAAATGGAGAGAAAAATCAACCCGTGAGTCATAAATTCGCTTCGACGCCTCCACGTTTTTATTTTTGCTTTTTTTTGCAGACGCACAAGGGGGAAATGCAGCCAGCCAGACGAGGGGAAAGATAATTTTAATGTATGCGGCGTGGCTTACACAATGTATCTGAGAGATACAAAACAATTAAAGGCAGCCGGCAATCGCTTTAATTGTGATTTTATGGAAATATTTGCCAAGCCCCGAGATTCTTATACGTTTTCTCTGTCGATTGAATACAATTTTCGAGCCAGACTTAACTCGCTTTATGGAATATTTATTCGGCTTACAGAGTACATCCTTTTCTGACTCATCCTCGTCAAGGAGTTTTTGAACATTCTTTATTTTTGTTGCAAATATTTTCTACATGAAATCAGCATCAGTTTAGCAGGGAGCGGCAAATGTAGCTGTTTATTGTGCTGGTTGGCTCGTTTTACCCCTTCAATTCTTACACATTTGCCGCACTTGCAATTTACTTGAAATTGTCTTCAAAGGAACATAACAATAGCAGCTGCGTAACTGCCCCCGCTTCTAAACTTTTAGTTGCTGTAGTTGCAGATTGCAGCTTGTGATCAAGTTGCAGCACGCTTATCCTTTGACAGACTTTGATTGGCAGGAAACTGAGAAAATTGTACAAGCGTTTTGCTCCTTACAATGAGTGAAACAAATCGTTTTTAATTGTATCAACTGTTGGGTGTCGGAAGATACCAAACAATTAAGTTATTTTCTGTCTTGTATAATACCATTATTTTGTAATGCTATTAAAAAGGTTTGTGTATGTAGGATAAAAATTTTAATTTAAACTTGTAAATAATTTATTTTTCATTGGGTTAGTTGATGAAGTGATATTTAATATTTACATAATAATATAGAAGTTGGTTTTTACCAGTTAATTTAAAAAGTTATCAACATCTGTTTAAAGGAGAATGTCTTAAATTTATGAAAATAAAATTATGCTTTTGCATTTAAGAAAAATATTTGTCTAAAAAACAGTTAGAAAAACAGTTTTTATAATTGGATACATTTTCTTTGGCAAATTGAATTGATTTGAAAAGTTAAAATTGTTTGAGTGCATATGCACTGTGTTTAATTAGTGATATAAAATTTGCTTGTTTTTAGACAGCTGGATATTTTCCTTCAATTTCTTCTTACAAAGGGATTCCGTCTTGAAATACAGAATTTTTGGCAATTTAATTAAAGTTCTCAGATATTTCTGGTTTTTACTCTGGGGCAATCAGTGCACCCACCTGACCAGGGTTTTATCCGCAATTGACCAGTTTCAGGCAGACAGTATTGCAATTACAACCAGTGACCATGCCACAAGCTAAGCAAATATCTCAAAACAAAGAGAACAATTTTTGTATCTCTGTTTTAACCACAGAAAATAAAATTCGTCCCCAATCTTTCACCCCTTCTCTGGCTATTTTGGCAGAGTCAAAAGTCGAAAGTTATCCTCCCATAAATATAAATGTATCTGTTTGCCATTTTTGTGAATACTGGCTTGGCTTAACATATGTCCGGCATGCGAAATAATTAAAGAAAATATTCTTTGTTTTTCTTTCATTGGCTTTGCGACTTAGGGGGGGAAAGCAGATCATGAACATTTGCCCCGAAATAAACTTCCATTCAATTTGATTAAAGGCGAAAAGGACATGGACTTCCTTCCTAGTCAGGGCAATAAAACATAACAAGTTGTCACAAGTGTGACACTGATTGAAATTATAAACTGTCACCAGCAGGGACATTCCTCAGATGCGTAGATACACACATGCGAGTGGGTGTCGTTCCATGTATATTATTAGAGATTTTTGCATACAAATTATGCGAAAGTCTGTCTCCTGGCAACTCCAGCAAATGTATTTCAAATATTTGCCCGGTGAAAGTGTTGACAATTCGGGGACGAGGGGTGGATAAAATAGGACGAACGTGGGGAGTACGAGTTCGGGGCCTGGACAAAGTTTTAGCCTGCTGCTGTGCGATAGAAAAAATATTGTTGCGCATTAGGTCTGGCTTGCAAGGATAGTTGGCAGTTTCAGTCCCAGTTCTAGTGGCAGATGCACTGGAGCCCATGCGAACTTCATATTTACCCCACATCTCCCTTTCTCCGACAGTATAAACTTTTAATTTGTGCGTAGCTAGCGAAAGTATATGAAAAATGGCATAAAAACAAAAGTTTCATATAAAAGGAGATGCATGGATGCAGGTTTATGGAAAAGGGGAAAGGAGAAAGGGACAGTAGCCAGTAATTGAGGCAAACTGTGAAATACGAGTACATAAAGACTCTGCAAAAGCAGGCCAAACAAATTATAAAGGCAGGAGCGATAGGGAAATATTGGGGTAGATCAGGAACAAGGATTCAAAGATAATTATGTAAGTGCGTAAAAGGGTAAAGACTTTCTCCGAAGCTAAAGTATATAATATCCTTATAGTGAGGATGAAATTGTATATCCCAAATATCTTTACACACAAATTTTAAGTCGTCTGCAAAGATACTAGAATCACTTGAGTCAAGTTTTTTACTTGCCCAGTAAATTCTAATTTACGTTACTTTTCTTGTTCCCTTATTGATTTGTTATTGATTAGGCAATAAATAATTCATGGAACAAAAGCCAAATTTTCTACAGCAAACAATAAACAAATCATGTTTCCAAAAAAGAAGACCTGAAAAAGAGGAAATAAGTGTAACGAGAAAGAAGTGTGCAAGCAAGTAAACTAAATTTCAATTAGTGAGTGCCGCCCATAAAAAAGGCTGAAGAAGGGCTTCTGGGGAGGAGAAAGAAGCTCTGCCAAAAAAACAACTCGTCTGCTATATTCCACCAAAGTTGGCTTCGGCTTAAAGTTGACAATTAAAAACTTTTTTGGAGCTTTTTGTGTTTTGTCGTTGTTTCCTTTTGTTGTTGTTTTGCCTTTGCTATCAGTTGTTATTGCTTCGTCTTGTCTAAATTAGTTTTTAATACCCTTAAGGAGGGTTCAATTGAGAATTTAAATATTTCTTTTAGAAATTTTTTTTAAGACAAACAGATAAAATTTAGTATTATATAGTTGTGTACAAAAAGATATGTCGATACCAAAAGATTATAGCCTACTAAATTTTTTGAGAAAATTTTAACATGGCTAAGTTTTTATAACTTTTTTGAAGATTCCATGATTCAAGATACATTTGTATCTGCCACAGAAACGAAATTGGCATAGCCTTAGAATAAGTAAATTTATAGCAAATTTAAATAGAACTGTAAGCGTATTCAAACATCGGCTTGGAAAAGTTATTCGGGCTTAACTTTTTTTTGTTAACATAGAGAGACAAAGTTTGGCAAAAGCAAAACTGTGCAAATTAGTTTAGTTTACTGGTATTTTGTTGTTGCTTTGAAATGATTTACATTGCTGGGCTTCAGAGTCAAATTGGAGTTGTCTTCGGTTCTGGTTGGCAAAGTGAAGAATTGAAGAATGCCTCAACAAGTTGTTGGTGTTTTTTTGGTGGTGGGGAGCGTAGCGGGAATGGGGAGTATGGTGAAAAGATTCTCCGATCGAATTAAAGTAACTTTTAACATGCGACATAAGCCAGTTTGCAACGTCGACGTCGACGGCGGCAGAGAAAGCCGCTACATGTGGGCGGACACACACAGATACACACGCACACCAATGCAGAACTCACCTCGGCCAAAACGCTGCGACTGCGCTGCTTCTGCTGCGACAGCTCCAAACTGGTTTTTTTATATGCTATATATATATATATATAGTATTTCTGGCTTAGCTTCTCTTCTCGTCGATATGTGCGTGTATATGTGCTACTTTGGTATTTCTCCTCTTTTTTTTCCAATATATATGCTTTTTTATGGCGTTGCGAAACACTCGAGTAGGCTTTTGCTGTGCCTGCTGTTGCTGTTGTTGTTTTTGGCCTGTGGGTTCTGTTGGCCCATATGAGACAAGCATTCAATTAAGCCCCACAATTGGCCAGCAAACAAAAGAAATCACACAAATAAACACTGATTCACTGTTTGACCCATACGAGCACAGATAACCTGTGCGCTTCACTTGTCGCGCGCGCGTTTTTCTTCGGCTTTTCGTCGAGCGTGGGCGTAAGCGGGCAGGGGGGGGGGCGGCGGCGGCGGCGGTGACGGGACGGTGGGCGGGGCAGAACGGACCGCCGTGCGGTTAACTTATGGGTTCGAAGTTCGAAGCTCGTAGTAGCAATTCACCAGCAATTTCACCAGACGACAACAGCGCGCACACATCCGCACAGCACAAAGTTTATAAACAAACTGAAACTGAAGCCGAGCAGCGACGCCGAGCGCCAATGCCAGCGGCGACGCGGCAGAGGGGCGGCAGAGGGGCATCGGCGGCGACAGAGCGGCCTCCACAATGGCAGCCGGCTCCAAACAGGTTCGGTGGGAGCAAAGCAACTCGAACTTGTTCGATGGGGTGATGAGGCGGAGTTGGAGGTGATGTTACCTATTCTGAACTGCATATAATTGATATTAAAAATAGTTTTATTTAATTGAAAAATCAAGCTTAATTTTAAGGTAATATGTGTCACATTTACAGATACATCTAGCGGGGGTCAAAACAAGGAAATTATCATTGACATATCCAAAATTGATGAGCAATTGAATGTATTTTATATTAATAAACTATTATTAGTCACAACACAAATAAAATCAGTAATAATTTTAAAGTAGAAAAAAACATTAGTGTTTTTTTAAATCCATTTTTTATCATTTAAATTTGTTAAATCTTTTAATACAATAATACACTGTACATAAATGAGCGTGAACCATAAACTGGGCCTTGAAATATCCAATTTTCGTAAGATGGTAAAGGTTATAGATTATAAAGTGTAGACTTGTTGATATTAAAATTAGTCTTTAAAAGTTCCAAGTATTTTTTATAACTTGATAAATAAAAAGACATATCAATTACATGCAATTTCAAACTATTCATACGGCCCTCGATTTTGTATGAGTCTACCAACCTGTTTGAGTTCGAAGAGTGGCGTTACACTCTCGGGACCACATGCCCATAATGCGAAATACAAGTTTAAATAAAAAGGTAACGAGGATTTAAGAATGGATGCGATCGAACATATTTGATTTTTCGAAAAAAAACAGCTACCGATTTAAGTGCCAAAAGCTTTCCCTTTTTTTCTTTTAACGCAGCCTTTCATACCATTTACATTTCATTTTCATTTTTCTTCGTCGCTTGATTGTTTGTTGATGTCTTGTCATTGAGTTTTTTTTTATTTTTTCTTTTTTGCTGCTGCTGACGTTGCTTCTGTCACCGATGTTGTTGTTGCTGTCGTCGTAGCTAAGTCAATTTTAAGGTTTATTTGAATTTCATTTTTCCTACTTTTTCGTTTACGTATTTTCGCTTTTTTACTTTGTGTTTGCTTGTTGCTGTTGATATTTTTAGTGTTTTATGTAAATTTTTAAGGCGCTGTTGAAGCCATGGTTTCTCCCTCATCCCCCCCTTTCCTCCCTCTAACCATCTAGCGCGCTAACATAGTTGCTAATGAGGTTGGCTTTATGCCCGACCATACTTATTGGTTTTCCAAGTTTTTTTGCAGCCTCGCCCCCGCATCCTTTATCCTTCTCGCCTGTTGCTTGTGTTTGCTGCAAACTAATAACAAATTAATTTCGATTTGCATTATTCATGCTCCGCCTAACACTCACAATTGGTAGTGCACAGCACACACGCATGCACACTGACAAATAAATTAGCATTTTCGGCTGGGATAAACCGATTTAACACGAAATTTGCAATTACCTCACTTGGAAATCCGCTTTGGTTTAAAATCAAATTCGTATCGAATTCCCATATTTTATAACCTCTTTCACCGTGATAAATAAATAGACGAGTTTCCCTAAACTTAACTATTTTAACTCTGAGTTTCTGCTGCTTACTATTAAGATTATTTGTGTAAGCTGTGTTGGTAATTGGATTTGGGAAACTCAAATTTTTATTTAATTTATCTATTAATGTCCGCCTGAACTCGAAAATTTTCATTGATCGGATATCCGACTTAATTCGGATTTAACTAAGTCTCCTTTCCTTTTTTGTCGTTCTTGCCTTTAGCGGGCAATCAGCAAAAACAACAGGAAGGTGAGAGAAGAAAGTCTGACAACCCCGACTCCCTCCCATAAAACCTCCATCCTTTCAGTACCGTTAATGACGATGCCACACACGTGTCTCTGCCTCTCTGCCTTGTGTGATTGTGAGGATGTGTGTGAGGAGGATGCAGCTGAGCTCCAGTAGAATGCACTCATGCAGCTTGATTGGCCTCCTCGTTTAACCGCCCAACCTCCTTCTTTTACCACCCCTTAACTTCCTTTCTCCTCGCTACATTCAATGACATTCAAAGCTAAGGAAGAAAAACAGGTGGGGCATTAACTGAGTGAGCGGTAGAAAATAACATCCTGTTCTTTATTTTTTACTATTTTTTGCCTTGCTAAATAAATGGGTTAGTATTACCAAGGACACCTGAGATACAGGGAAAATGCAGGAGGAAGAGGCCTTTGCAAAAGTGCAATAGTAGACATAGCAACTGTAGTAGCGGTGAGAAATTTGCCAAGGGAAAAGACATTTTAATATAAAAGTGTGGAAAACCTAGGTAGAATTTTAAATGAAATAATAAAGGAACCATTAGAGAAGGAGATTTCTATAACAAAAGAGTAATTGAAAAAAAAATTTGAGCAATAAAACTGACATTCGGCTTGCCAAAGTTTATATACCCTAGCAGCTTCACGATTTCTGAAAGGGGTTAGATCATACAAATGACAAAAATCGACCCAAAAATAAAAACCGAGATTTAAACATTGACTTTAAGAGGTTTAAACCACAATCATTTAGAAGTATTCCACATCAAATCGTAAGAAAAGTTATGGGCTTAGAAGTGCAGGCTTTAGGTCACTTTTCAGCAAAGCCATTTCTCGTTAATTTGGAAAAATTTTTGAAAAATTGAATCCAAAATCAATCCAATTTGAATACACATGCTTTTTGAGAATAAGCACACAGTCATTTAGAGATCTGCCACTTTGAAATCGGATGTCTGTAATAAAAGTTATGGGCTTGGAAGTGCAGTTTTTGGACACTTTTCTGCAAAGCTATTTTTTTTAAATTTGGAAAGGGGTAACATCATTAAAAATGACGAAAAATCGACCCAAAAATATAAACCAAGATTTGAACACAGATTTTTAGAGAATTTAGGTACAATCATTTAGAAGTATGCCTTTTTGAAATCGGATGACTATAAGAAAAGTTATGGGCTTGGAAATGCAGTTTTTGGACACTTTTCTGAAAAGCCATTTTTTGTTAATTTGGAAAGGGGTAACATCATTAAAAATTATGAAAAATCGACCCCAAAATTCAAACGAATTTGAATACACACACTTTTTGAGAATGAAACCACAATCATTTAGAGATATGCCACTTTAAAATCGGATAACTGTAGGAAAAGTTATGGGCTGTACTTCTACAGGTTTTAAGTCACTTTTCTGCAAAGCCATTTCTAGAAAATTTGTAAAGGGGTGACACTATAAAAATGACGATAATCGACATCCAAAAATAGAAAAAAAAATTAAATTTTTTTGCAAAGTTTTATCAAAACAGCTATCCGCAGGGTAATAAGAAGCTGAAGAAAATATTTTGATGAGAAAAATTAGATATGTGAATACATTTAGAAATCAATTGAAGTTTTATAAAAGGCTGCCCTAACTTTTCTCATTATTCTCTTACATATCCCACATACATAAATAAAATCTTTTTAAGCAACCACTTTGACTTTTGTCAAATGGTTTGGACAATACACATATGAAATGGCTTGACTCGCTGTTGTTGCCTTTAGCAATCCATTTAAATTAGCTGTCATTATTTATGGACACTGCCCCGTGCCTCCTATCAAAACCTCCAGTCCCCGCTGTTGTCGCACATTTGTGGGCTAATTAGTTGGGCCGCAGTTCGGAGCCAAGTCTGGAATTATTGTAGTGCCGGCTAACTGATAAAGCTTTGCCCCCTGCCCACAAAATGCTATCATCATCATCGATGGCGCCGCAACTGTCAGTGCAGTTCGGGCCATGATTTATGCCTGGATTTACCGAGGGGGGGCCTCAAAATAAACATTTCGGCCCAAACGGAACTGAACCGAAAACCAGACAAAGCCAAACAAAACTATTGCTAATGAGGTCCGCAGTGCGCGAGGCAAATAAATTCAGAAGGGAGCTGACCCCTGACCTCCGCACTTACATTCACGCATTCAACGCTCGGCTGAAGTTTCACCCCTTGTTTTTCCCGCCCAAAAAAAGGCTCCTTCGCTAATGACCAAAAGCGGATTTCGCATTGCAGGCAATTATTATTTCTTGTTCCTTCTTTTTTTTAAACATAAATTAAACTAAGCCGCTCAAGTGGTGACCCCACAAAGCACCCACAACCCCTTCTTACCTTTTCCAAAAAAAAGAACCCCCAAAAAGTGTGTAAAGCCCAGTGAAGCGTTTCAGTTTTGTACATTTCTTGATTCACGGCTAATGCGAGGATATCAAATTTAATTTTGCGTAATTAATGTCGCCCCAACTTCCATTCTCAACCCTTTTTCCTCGGGCCAGACTTGACCGAGGTCCGAAACATGACCAAAAGAAAATTCATTAATATGATTTAGGCCCACAGGATAAACAACAACAACATCAGGCCTAAAAACATCCAAAATAAACCGACAAACAAGAACGGAAAAAGCGAAAATGATTTTGTATTTATGTTTTGGGTCCCTCATCGTGCATGACTGAGCCAAGGAATACGAGAGTTTACGGGAATGAAACCCTTTTGCAAAAGTCTGGCAAAAAAGTGTAAACTGAAGGAAGAACAACTGACGAGGAAAAAGGAGACGATAAATGTGGAGGGAGGATATTGTGAAAGTGGAAAACAGAAATTTGAAAAAGTTTGTCACCTACAAGTCGTTAGGGTTCGTCAAAATGAACACTTCGACTTCGAAAACACACTTTCTTAGGATAATGACTTCAAGATTCAGCCATCAGAAATTTAAATTAATAAAATGACAAAGCATAAAAATATATTTTTAAGCAAGTTATCCTTGTTTTTGCATTCTTAACATTTTTTTTTAAAAATAAAATTGTTTATTTATTTATGAAAGCAAGTTTACTGATTATCCGCTTGGGACACGGAGCACAGTCGTTTTTGGCTGCAAAAATTCATATTTTACGAAATTAAATTGGTAGTTATAATACGTGTTGCTTTCATTTTGTTTAAATATTGAAAATTAAAATTTTTGAATATGATAAGCACACCAATTATTAATTGCGGCTGGATGCATGTTTACACAACAGAGATGTTATTGATGCCTGACTGAATTCCAGCAAACTTGGTTATCCAAAAACGTGGTTAGTTTTTGTGAAGTTAGGGTAACGCATCGAAAAGGTTTTAATCAGCACGTGGCATGCATCCTGCGTGGGCGTGCGGATGGCTTGTTGTTTTGGTGTTTGGTTTTCTATCCGCTCGGTTGCGAATATTGCCTGCTCTGGCCAGACTCAGTCGCGCTTTTCTCATTTTCTCGACTGCCTGGCAGCCTTGTTTATTTGCATTTGCTGCGGCGATGGATTTATGAGCGAAGCCATTGAACTTGCGGCTTGCTATCGCTCACTATACCTTTACTGGGTCCCCACACTACTGGGCTATCACTCCGTGCCTCCTTAGATGTGTGTGTGTGTGGCCCGCAAACAAATATGCCAGCGGCACGCACATAGCCTAAGCCACTCACTGGGGCTATAACACCCACAGCCACGCCCCCTCACACTTGGTTGAATCCTCTACATCCAAGCGCCCCATCAAACGGCACACCCCTTTTGGCCAGCTCGACCCCTCGGTCTGGCCAATTTTGACATTTGCGTTTTGACGCAAGCGGCGTATACGCAATTTCTGACTCTGACTCTTTAAGTCCTGTTTCAGCTCACGCTGCTGACCACGTGACCAGAAAATTGTTATCGCTCGCATTCCCCTTCACATGGCCAAAAGTTTCCAATTCGAAATATAGACACGGATATGTTATACGTTGGCTGTAAAATACACCACGTTCCATAACTAACAAATTTCTTAAATACTTTACATATGCATGCGCCAGGAATTTAAAATCTTACAATCTGGACAAGAAGAAAAAATATTGTTAAACACGGCATTAAACCCATTGCCATATTCCAGATTTCATAAATAGGGAATTGTGAACCAGTTCAAGGTTAACTTTGCACTTAACCAAATCATTAAATATTATATGAGCGATATAATCTGAAAAGAAACATGATAGACAAATAAATACACACTTCAGGCTATTCACAACAAACTAGTATTCTTCCTGCGGATATTACGATCATATGGCACACCTCCCATCCTATCATCGCATCGATTATGAAACGCACTTTGTGTACACACTATGGATGCGTGCGATTCCTCATATTTCATAGCTTGACCTCCCTTTCTTTGGCAACCACCGGCCAAAATAAATAGTTTGTTTCTGTTTGCTGTTGCTGTTGCTTTTGTATTTATTTTTATGACTAAAAATGTTTGCACGTACAAACGGAGAGACGGGCAGAGCTGGCCGCCCTCTAATACTATAACCAATATAAATGTCATTTATGTTTTGGACACTTTTTGGTAGCAGCAGTCGCAGTCGGGTGGGTTGAATGGGAGATGAAGCAGCATGAAGGGCCCTTTGAGTGGAGTCCAAAAAAATCTAGTAGAAAGTGAAATTCTGTCATGGTCAGCGATACAAAAACCGCAGCGAATCGAGGATTCGGGATGTGAATGGGAGAGGTAAACTAGGATCAAAAAATACTTGAAACTCACAAGCACGCAAACAGGATATATGCAGGATGCACAGAGTGCTGTCTCCATCCGTGGGTATCAGTATCTCTAAATTTAAGTTTATTTGTATCCCTATCTCTACGTGAATACAAATGCTGTGGTGGAGTGTGATAACCATCACAATCCACACACATGAAAGAGTGATAGCACCACTTAGTGGCACTTAAGGATATGCAAAAGCTGTAAGGACTTCCGCTTACGTTTCGCTCAGGATACTCCAACTGAGTTAGAGCAAAGCTGAAGTTGTCCTGAGCTGGCTATTTTGCCCACTTGCCTTTTGGTCTGAAAATGTATGGGATCTTGTAAGCTTATCTGCAATTTGTGGTGAGAATGTACCTCAATAAAGATTCCTTTTAATTAGGTCTGGAAAATGGTTACTTATTTAATTATTCTATTACTTTGTTTTTTTATGGTAGAATGAGATTACATTTCTCTAGCTAAATTTCTTTTAAGTAACTTGTTTGACAAAAACAAATATAAAACAGCCTTTTCATGATTGAGCTTAAACAATTAAAATATTGTTTAAAAACTGTCAGGCATCCATTTAGATGAAAATTACCTGATATAAAATCAATTTATCTCTCTAACCGTTTTGGCCAATGTAAACATGGAATCAATTCAGGACTCTACGTGCCTATCCTTAAACTATTCAGACGCAATATTAATGGACAAGAAAATCCTGTCTCATCCATCTCAGCTTTTCCATTTCCAACTCAGGAGAAGACAGTCTTCCATTTACTCCATGTGGAGTCCTTGACACGCGGAGAGATTCGACATTCCCACAACCACCCGCCTTCAAGGAAGCTCGTTTCAACTTCCGGTCTCCTGATGCTCCTCCTTCCATAGTTGGCAATAAAAGCGGAAGGCGTCACTTTCCAAATGGCGTCATGCTGCTTTGAGCTTTGTTTTCCGCCCCCTCCTCTGTTTATGTATTTTTATTTATGCTCTTTTCGCGTTGCTTCTATTATTGCATTAGCTGAAGAGGAGTTTGAGTTTGGGGGTCCTTGTTCCTTTTGTTATTTGTTGTTTTCCATGTTATTTTATATTATCTTTATATGAATTGCGGCTTCTCCGAACCCTTCTCATTTTCCCGATATTATATTTTTTTTATTATGCATGTCGCGTGTGCTGCCGCAAAGACGGAAAACAATATTTATTTATTTCAACCCTTTTCGTTCGGTGGGAAATTTAATGGGGATGACACTGGCCCCCTTTAATACACCATAAATATGGCAGCGATTTTCTTAACAATTCATTTAACCCCCTTCCCTCATGGTTCATTTTTAACCTTCGTCAAGAAGTAAATTGGAGTCTCAGGTCACGGTTTCAAACTTCCTTCATTTAGCAGCCCAACCAGTTATATTCAACCATTAATACATAAATCAATTTAATTCTCTATTTCGCCTACATTTGACTCTCTCTTTCGACTTCTTTCGGTTCATTTGTTTTGTTTTCTGTCAACTTTGTGATGGCGCATTTGTTGGGTTTATCTAGCTTTTGGTGTGATTTTATTTGATTTATTTTTGGTGCCAACTAAACTGAATCATGCAAAATATGGCACATTCAACTCTACTTGCCATCGAAATATTTTAAATGGTCAGTGCAGAAAAAATAGCATTTTATGCTGTCACCAAAGTGATTTAAAATACTACGATTGCATAGGCTTAAAATCAGTAAACATGCCACAGGCGAGAATATTATAAAATAAATATTTTCAACACTTTTTGACGAATGCATCAGACTAGAATTACTATTAATATAAATATACTTAAGCTCTAACAAAAATATTTAGTCCAATTCAAAAAAATGTAATCACCGATTAGTTTAGTTTTTAAATAAATTCATAGAAAATCAAAAATTATACGCAATCAAAAAACATTTAAAATTTTAAATAAGCTTTACAAGTTTTTCATTTTGTATTCTCTCATCCCAATTAATATTCCCTTAGTGGTTTTCTTGCCTACAATTTAAAGAGTAAGGATTGGGCGCGCAAAAATAAATTCAAATTGAGTGGAACCAGACTGCAATCACTAGCCGTACTCTTCTAACTTACAGCCCTGGTTCGAAATTTTCGAACGAACCCCAGTGCCATTGACTTCGAAAATTCGTATTTAACGGACCAAATTACACTATACTACAACATTTTAGAGACGTTCGTAGTTTAACAAGTCGAAAATAGTTGAGTTTGTGAATAATGTTTTGCTTAATGGAGTTTTGTTTTAAATTTTCCTATGTTAAGTTAAAATTGGTATGTATTAAAATGAAATATTTAGGAAACACGTTGCGTATCATATTTGTGGATTCATATTAACACTCCCAGAAAGCAGCCTGATTTGGTTTGACACAGAATTGGCCAAAACAATGCAAGAAAATTGGCAATTACCTTCACTTTCTCGCTCTCCTTGCCTTTTCCTTTCCCTCGCTGGCAATTTGCATGGCCAGCAGAGTTTTAGTGTCCACTCAGCTCGTCTGGCCACTGCCGGCGATCGGATTTGCGCATATATCAATCGGGGCGGGCACGGCACATACGCTCGATTCGATGCCCACCGGCATCGCCGCCACACTGATCGTGGGCAGGCAGCGCAGGTAGCCGATCGCGATTGCCGGCTCTCGACTCTAGACTCTCGAGTCTCGACTCTCGATTCTCGATGGGTTAAAAGGCCCGCTCCGGCCGGCGGGTCGAGTCAGTCTGCCCCTGGCCTGGCCCTTTATCGGGACGCATTTTCCGAGCGTTGCAGCTGAGCAGGTGCAGGTGGTTACCCCCCGCGGGCACCGTGACGTACAGCGATGAGAGTGAAGAGGGAGCGGCCGGGCCCGCTGCGCTGGCTGCGCCACCTGCTCGACGAGCTCCTGGTGCGAATCCTCAGTCTGAGCCTCTTCCGCGTCAAGAGCAAGCCGCCTGCTGCAAGCTTTTCCGGGTTGGATTCTTCTTCCGTTACCAAATATGTGCCTATTCCGAGGGTTAAGGGCCTGCCAGTAGTCGGTACCCTTCTGGATCTAATCGCCGCCGGAGGAGCCACGCAGTAAATCCATAAAGTTTTGATTCCTAAAAATAAAAACAACATCTTATAACAATTCGTGCTAAAAAATATATAATACAGTTGAACTTTTAAAGCGCGATAAATTTGTTTATACCGGACTATTTCAATGTTATAAAAAACAGTCTGCACTTGCAGAATTTCGCGCAATTTTATTATACCTCGCAAGAGAAAAAAAGTGATTTCTTTTGGACTATTTACCTCTAAAAATAGTGATTTCAACTCAATTCTAATATATGTGCATACTGAATTATAAAACGATTTGAAAGTGGAAACGGGACTTCGAGTCTTAGAATTTATTATAGATGTATTTCAATCCGCATATATTGCTACATAAGACATTTTTTTAGTGAAAAGTGATTTAATATTAAAGAATTGAAATCAAAATGATAAAAACTAAGACCAAGATATTTCGGATCAAATAAAATCGTTTCAGACACTGATAACTTTAAAAAGTGCTATGTTTAAAAATGCATAGTATATGTAGATAAGTAAAGCTGCAGAGGATCCTTACTATACCGATCATTTCCTTCTCCTGCATAGCCTTCATAAGTACATCGATGCCCGGCACCGGCAGTATGGACCCATCTTCCGGGAGCGACTGGGCGGCACCCAAGATGCAGTGTTCGTATCGTCAGCGAATCTGATGCGTGGAGTCTTCCAGCACGAGGGTCAGTATCCGCAGCATCCGCTGCCGGATGCCTGGACTCTGTATAACCAGCAGCATGCCTGCCAACGTGGATTGTTCTTCATGTAAGTGGAGTGGACCAAATGAGTCCGTTGAATTGCAAATGAGGAGTCTACAAAACAGATCTCCGTTCTCTTCTTCGATGGGAGTAGGGAGGGCGCCGAGTGGCTGCACAACCGACGCATACTTAATCGCCTGCTGCTCAACGGAAATTTGAATTGGATGGACGTGCATATTGAGAGCTGTACCAGACGGATGGTGGAGCAGTGGAGAAGTCGCACCGCTGAGGTTGCGGCGATTCTGCCTGAGGAGGGTGGCGAGATCCGAAGCTACGAACTTCCCCTTCTGGAGCAGCAGCTCTACCGCTGGTCTATAGAAGGTGAGAGGCTATGGATTGATAATTAGATACATGGGGTTCCGTATAAAGTCCGATAATATGTCTGCAATATCGCCTAAAGCCGCAAAACTTGTATACAAAAATTCGTTTTTTAATTAATGGTATTCCATTACATTTACCCCAACGATATTTTCCTTTATAACTTTCTAGATTTTCATCATTATTTTTTTATATAAATCTTTAATGAATTTCTAATTATAAGTTTAAGAAACCCAATGAACTTATATTGAAATACAAACTCGTGGGAATCTTAATTGATACCTATTGCATTATCTGGTGATATTATTCCTTTGCAAAAATAAACATAATTTAAATACTATACCTGTCCACAGTACTGTGCTGCATAATGTTTGGCACCAGCATCCTCACCTGCCCCAAAATTCAGTCCGCCCTGGATCACTTTACCCAGATCGTACACAAGGTTTTCGAGCATAGCTCGCGGCTGATGACATTTCCGCCACGATTGGCTCAGATGCTGCGCCTGCCAATCTGGCGCGATTTCGAGGCCAATGTGGATGAGGTCCTGCGCGAAGGAGCTGCCATTATTGATTACTGCATCGGAGTGCAGCAGGATCAAAAGCAACCGCATGAGGATGCCCTCTTTCAGCGTCTGCAGGCGGCAGAAGTGCCAGGCGAGATGATCAAGCGGATATTTGTGGACCTGGTCATTGCAGCAGGTGACACGGTACGGCAGAGTGGGCAAAATAAAGTCAAAACCAATTACTAATTCGAGTTCTACATCCACCAGACTGCTTTCAGCAGCCAGTGGGCTTTGTTTGCCCTTTCCCAGGAGCCGCTGCTCCAGAAACGCTTGGCCAGAGAGCAATCTACCCATGATTCTCGACTGCTGCACGGCCTGATCAAGGAGTCCCTGCGTCTGTACCCCGTGGCTCCCTTCATTGGTCGCTATCTGCCACAGGATGCGCAATTGGGCGGACACTTTATCGAAAAAGATGTGGGTAAAAGTAGTTTGCTGAAGGGCAAATTTAATCTCTTACCCTTCCTCTTTCAGACAATGGTGCTGCTCTCCCTGTACACGGCAGGTCGCGATCCGGCACACTTTGAGCAGCCTAATCGGGTGCTGCCGGAGCGCTGGTGCATCGGCCAGTCAGAGCAAGTGCACCAGTCCCATGGAAGCCTGCCTTTCGCCATTGGCCAGCGGTCTTGCATCGGCCGCCGTGTGGCACTCAAGCAGCTTCACTCCCTGCTGGGCCGCTGTGTCTCCCAGTTCGAAATGAGATGCCTCAATGAGCAGCCCGTCGACAGCGTACTCCGAATGGTCACCGTGCCCGATCAGACGTTGCGATTGGCCCTTCGGCCGCGAACCGAGTGATACAGTCATACACGCATTAACATAATCATAACAATAACAGTAATCGTAATCGTAATCGTAGTTTCTTTAGATTTATAAAAATATATAAATGTCACCTTTAGTAATCTATCTAGTAAAAACTTGAAATTAGGAAAACAGGGCCTGCAGCAATGTGTAGACTAGCAGCATAGTGCCCAAAACTGATAGCCCCACGATTGGGGAACCCCATAATAGTTGCCCAAGAATTAGGACAGAGGCGATTGTAATCAGAACGGGAATAGAGCCTAACGATCGTAGGCAAACACGCGGAGGAACCAAGCTCTCACATATGTCCACTTGGCCGGAACTTTTGTCGAACCACTGCTCCGTCATGGGGGCGTACAGGAGTTGCCTCGCTACCTTTCCACAGTAATCTTCACGAGCGTAGAATGCTTGTATCTTGCTGCCATACTGAAATAAATATAAAACGATTAATGAAGTCTTAAATTGTATTTTATTAAACCTTACCCTCTTGTTAATCTTGTCAGAGATGAAGTGCAGGATCCTCACCAGCGATCTCACTTCATTGGTCTGTATAGGCAAATTTGCGGGATCGATGGTGGCATGCATGTTAGATGCATTGAGGGACATTTGGTGCGGGTTAAGCTTAGAGGTGTCCAAAGAGTCGCTGGAGTCGAAAAAGCTGAAATTTTGTACCGTTGTTGAGGCAGGCGGACATGGTTCCTGAGGCAGGTTCTCATGCATTGAAAGGTTGGCTTGATCCACCTGGTAAATATTCGAAGATCTTATGTGAAAGCAAATTCTGCAATTTAACCAACAAAACTTACATTGAACGTTTGACAGAAGGCGTCGATGCATTGACGCAGAACCTCCGGAATACGACTAAACTCGCGCAGAGTCACTTCATCCTGTGTGCACTCACGGAAAAGCTTGTTTAAGAAGTTCTTTAGGAATCCCTCAGAGCGCTGTTTCTCAGCAATTTCGTTTCGCAACGATGCAATGTCCCTCAGCACCGAGTTTCGAGCCATGCTGATAAGAAAGAGAAAGCTTTCCATCTGAATCTGCATGGGATGACTAAACAGCTTGGCCGAATTTGTGCTAACCACATGATTCCACTGAGAGCCTGGTGAAAAGGATTTGCTAAAAAATAAATAATTATGAATTACTATGTTTTTCTTGATCCAACTACTGTAACCTACTTCATTATGTTGACCTGCCTTTGCGGCGAGTCGAATCCATAGGCATTGCCCGCATGTAGACGCTCGAAACGCTGCAACCGCTCTACTAAATCATGTTGGGCGAACATTGTGGCCAGGCGATATAACATGAAGGCATTTCGATAGACGGTGTAATCCAAGCGACCAAAGTGCGGCAGCAGCTGCATGAATATGTTGGTGTACATAATCAGATTATCGATAATAAATCCATCAAAGCAGGACAAGATGGGCGGCCTGTAGGCAAGACTTGGTCTAAAAAGAAAGAAATATGTTTATGTTCTGAATTCATTATAGATTTATAAGTTCAAACGTACGTCTTGTTGTTCAGAGCTGCCAAGGTGTACCTCCACGGTTGGATGTAACTGAGCCAAAGCTCCAACACCACCATTAGCGAGCTGTCAAGGGGCCAACGATCGATCAAACCGCACAAAAATGCGTAGATTCTAGCTTTTACCATGCTTAACGAAACCTTGCGAAGAGCGCTGAGTGACGTGTGATCCTGCTGCGCCCCATTTGCAAAGAAGTGGACCTGTTTTACCAAGGTGCGTACGCCGCGCACAAAATCGCTACTGGGCAGGTGGTGCTCCGACTCGATGTCATAGCGCAGCCAGATGTCCACAAAGAAGTGGAGAACACTCTCCGATCGCCAGGCGTAGGCCCTGTTTGCGCTGGCATTTGGGCTGCCGGACTGTGGAGAGATGTTCCCGCTGCCACCACTGGAATTCGGACTACCGCCTCCTCCGGACACGTTTCCACCGTTGCGAAAGGAGCTGGGAATCTTAATGTAGCGCGGCTGCCTTTGAGGCTGCAATGCCTGGGCAGGAAGCGGCTGGGGAGCCTTAACGCCGCTACTAAAATGTACGGGTTCTATCCGGGCATCGGGGATGAGGGGCAGGAAGTTATTGAGATACTCGGACACCAGCTTTAGATAAATGGTCTTGCTGCGCACGTTGTGGATCTGCATGGCAATGGGATTAATCGAGTGCAGCGGCTGCAGAGCGTACAGCACAAAGTGGATCACGTAGAAGTCGAAGGCGTTTAGCGAGAGCGTGGCCACCTGATGTTTCATTGAGTCGATATTGATGAGTTCCGCATAGAACCTGGGATTTTGGCCAGAATGCAGCATGCTAACGAACTTGGCCTGAAAAAGGAATATTTAGACGAGGCACAACTAGACCTAGAACCACATCTCACAGGCAGCATATTGATGTCCAACTCAAACTTGCACTGGTCCAGGAGCAAACGGTGGCAGAGATGCATCCAAGGGCCACAAACGCTGAAAAACTGGTGCAGCGTCTGGAAGTGCAGTGGATTGTTCTCCAAGGTCGTCGTCCGCAGTCCCCAGCCCAAAGGATTGCCATTGATCCCGAAGATTGAGTGCACGATGTGGGGGAATAACTCCTGGATCTGGCGCAGGGAGCAGCGATCGAACAAGATGGTCAGCTCATGCAGGCGATCCAGCAAAGGCAAACTGAGCACCGTCAACAGGCGGCTCTGAAATGTGCAGTCGTTTTAGACAAATTGGATACGAATAATCAGCACTACTCACGCTTAGGCTTTCTGGCGGCATTGTCTGCGACATGGCGTGTTCGTAGATGTAGCAATGGCCTTAAATTACGAATAAATATAACGTTAAATCTTAAAAACCGCTGCCGGCGTGCTGTAAACAAAAACCTTTTGTCGTGTTGCCGGACCTGCCAGAAACCGTGACGTTTTGCAGTGCTGCCATATCGGCCAATTAAATATAAGGGGTATTTGTAGAAAGAAGAACATAAATTAATTTCACGTATCACAAGTATGGTTTGATTTTCAAAATATAAAATATATTGGTTTATAAACGTATCTAGGTACATACATATATGTACCTCTAACTTTACCTGAGCTAGGTTAATATGGACTGAAATAAATTAATTGCCCTATACCAAAATATTAATTTGATATAATGCAATGAATTTAAGACAAACTAATTTCACTTCCTTCGTACGTCACCTGAATTTTTTGGCTTAAATATTTCCATAACCAAAATTATTTGCCACTGAAATTCAGCTGCAGTACATGTAACTTTATAGTTGGGTAATATGGATATTGATAATGGATAAATAATAATAATTAATAAATTTTTAAGGGCTTTATGTGGAAGAGGTGGAAACAGGGTATAATTATACTTGTGCATTTTTACGCGTTCCAACTATGGTCACACTTTCGACCGGCGTTTTGTTTTGCTGCAGATTTTTGTGTTTATTTTCGTTATTCTGCAATTGTAAAAACTAACTATGAAGCGTAGGAGTCAAACGCAGACTCAACAAGCCACTCCGGCCAGTAACAATACGAAGGACAAGACTGGAGCCCTCACGGTAGCCCAGCTGAACTCCGATGTCATTTGGCAGGTGGGTGCTCCACTGGACGAATATTTTAATGCGGATTATAACCATTGAATAACTTATTCACAGCTGGCATCGCAGTACTGGACCCCAGACACAAAGGCGGATCACCTGCCATATAGTGCCAAGATCATTGACCGCATCTACAACGAGGAGATCGGCGGAGGCGGTGGCCACAGTGCGCGCCGGATTAACATGCTGGAATTCAGTCAGTACTTGGAACAGTATCTGTGGCCACATTACCAGCGAGAAACCGCTACCCATGCCCACCTCATGTCCATCGTGATAATGGCCAACGAAAAGTTTCGGGAGCGCGTCGAGGTGTGGACCGTGTTCGAGAAACTGCCGGATCAGTATCCAGCCTTCTTCCGCCACGTGCTGGAGAGCTGTTTGCCTGAAAAAAAGGCCAAAGAGGCCAGCAGCACGTTGAGAGAGCGAACAGCCCTATTGATGTTCATTAACCACTGTTTCAACAGCATGGAGATCGAGCTGTGCCGCGAACAGGCAAAGCGGTTGGTCTCCCTGTCCATGTGGCACTGCCTGCAGCCGCGTAAGTCCCTTTAGAACCTTTTTAATCGTATGAAACTTTACCAAAATGTACCTTATTTGTACTACATTTTTTTAGGGCGCCGCGAGCAGGAGCTTCGTGATGTGCCCGAGTGGCGAAAGTACTGGAAGCGCCTTCTCAAGAAAGAAAAGGATAGCAAACCCGAGGTCCTCTGGGAAAGGCACTTTATGCAAAACCTTATCATCGACTTCCTGCACATCCTCGAAGGCATTCCTGCCGATGGCGAAGTCGCCTCTAATGTGGTTCATTACTGCGAGCGCTTCCTGGAGTTTATTATTGACCTGGAGGCTCTACTGCCAACGCGTCGCTTCTTTAATACAGTTCTGGACGACTGCCATCTTATTGTGCGGGCTCTTCTATCGCCTCTTGTTCGTCGCGAGGAGGGAAAACTGTTCGGGCAGGTAGGTGTCAGACTTCTCTTTTAATTACAATCTCGTACAGCATAAATAGGTTAAGTTTAAGTACAAATCTCAATGTTAGACATTGCTAAACTACAAAAACACTTAAATTAGTGTGGACGGTGGCTTATTAGTAGTCGTTGCCGTTCATGTAGTGCAACTCATCGCCCCAGTCATTCGCTGAGGGTGGCTCGTTGTAGCAACATGTCTTTTTCAGCAGGAAGGTCACATGCCGCTGTCGCAGCACGCAGATATAGAGTAGCAGCGGTGTCTGCAGGGCGTTGACCACGATGTGGGCATATAACAGACCCTCCAGCTGCAGCCAAGACATTATGAGGAACAGCCAGGCTATCGACATTACCAAAAGCATCAGCGAGAACATGATGAAGCTTTAAGAAAAAGAGATGTTTTAATATTCAGAAAAAATTTAAAAAGGCATTGAATGACTCACTTGGCCTTCAGCTTGTGTGCAATGCGACCGTAGACTGTCCTTCGGTTGATCAGCTTCCTTGTGGTAACATAGAAGAATATGTTTACCAAAATGATGCAAGCAATGGGAGCAAAAAATATGCAGATGGCAAGCCAGCCGATGGTCTCCTGTTCGCCTACCATCTGCTCTCGTTTATAGGACTCTGCGTCCAAGAAGAAATGAGAAAAGACAGCTAATACAGCCATCGTTGCCGTGCATCCCCAGGCGTAGGCAGAATAGTAGCAGTACTTCTTCCCATCCGTAACCCGCAGGAAAACGTTTCTCGAACGAAAACTTTTCCAGATGTAAAATCCAAAACTATTTAGCCAGAAAAAGGCTGCGAGCAGGCTGAAGCACATGATTATGTCCGCAACAATGAAGCTAACATGGCTTGTCAGCTCCGTGAAGATGCGTACCAGGTCCGCCGCCTGACTAACCATCAGGCACATGGCTATCGTTGTCACAATGTTACCCACCAAATCTCTGCTAAATGTATGTAAAATTAACGCATGAAGGGAGTCGAATTCAGCACCATTGCTCACCTCAGTGTTGGCAGTATAAAGTAGACGATAGCGATGATCAACAGAATGATAAGCGAAATCCCATGGAATATGGGGTTCAAGATCTTGCGGAGAAGAAAGTTGGAATCACTCCATTTGATCTCTTTCCGAGCCAAGCAGATCTTGGCAAATAAAACTTGTTTTTCACCAGTGCTGGAGGTAGCCTAAAAATGGATTCTATGATTATTTTAGCAATTTAATTGCACCGCGGCCACTCCTACTCTATCGATGCAGTACAATCCATTATCGTAGTCGTGGTATAGAGGCTCCATAGTGTCGGCAATGTCCTCCTCATAATCTGACTGTATTCCATGACGCTCCTCGCTCTCATGCTCAGCATTTGTGAAATGCCTTAGCTTGCCATCTTCCAGTAGCACTAGCTTATCAGAGCTCTTGAAAATGTAAAAGTATTTATAAGTATCTATAAAACCTGAATAATAGGCCTTGGACTCACCCCATCATAATGGTATATGGGCCACATCTGCATGGATCCGCAGTTGGGAATGCCAATGACGAACTTGAAAAGAACGGCCGTGTTTTGCTTCCCTCCATTGCTAGTGAACACTGGGTGGAAGTAGTCTGCAAATGAAACCCAAAGATATAAAGTAAACATAAAGCGTAGCTAATCATTAAGACACTTCGAGTTCTTGCCGCCTTTGTTGGTTTCGTGGATCAGAGGAGGGGAGCCAGAATTTCCTTTCAGATATAAAAATATTTGTTGCACTTCAAGGTGAAGAACGTGATCTCTGCAATGCATCTTCATCAGCTGTTTTAGCTGTGTTTTGCAATTCGTGCGGATTTGTTCTCCTACAGTTGCCGCAGATGGGATGCACTTTTGTTCCATTCAGGCCTTTGATATGTTAATCATATTTAAGCACACGAAATTAGATCGCATGTGTTGATTATGTGCCGTGCTTTAATCTTTAATCTTACTCAAATCCCAACAATTAAAAATCTCGTGATGTCATTTCTATGCGTTTAGTTGCCTGGCAATGATTCAACTTTTCTATATAGTAACATATTTATGTGTCACTTAAATGGCCAATCCACCCTTGGTAATGTTTTATTCAGTACTATAATTTTTATTTAGTCACTATGGCGCTTTTTGTTTTATTTTTGGTTTTTTTTTCAAGCCCAGCTGAATAGGTAATATTTATCAATATCAAGAGAAATAAGGTTCTAGTACGAGAGAAGCTATAGTCTGGCTGTCAGTAGTCAGAAGCTTTTGTTTTGTATTTTTGTGTATTATATTTAAATCATATTTATTTTTACATAAATCTAACTATTTTAATTTAGAGTACCTTGCTAATGGGTTTTCCGGCTCATTTCCTTTTTGTAAAGATGAAATAGACTTAATGGAAATCCCCCATAAAGTGCCTACTTTAAAAATTAAACAGAAGCATGCCCCAAGGCATAAATCATATTTCTCAACATGATTTAGGGTCACTCACAGTTTGTGTTGAGAATTTGTTTGGGGAAGTCAGTGAGTGGGGATGCATTTGTAGCTGCTGGCTGCGTTCCACTGATCCACTGATAGCGAACAAATGGGCCATTTACTGTTGGGCATACATATGTTGCATGTCAGAAGGGAAAATCTATAAAGTTGAATGGCCAACAAACTCCGGTGTGGTTGTTATGGTAACTTTTTCGAGGGGTCAGGAGTTTTCCGCCTGGCCAGCTGTTGGACTCACCCGTTTTGTTGACCTGCTGGCACTCGCCGTCCACGTGTATCTCGAATTTCTCGCAGCATTTGTTGACCAAAACAATTTGAGGATCGAATGATACCTTTGATGGTGATCCCCCACTAGTGACATGACTGGTTACCAGTAGTGGGCGTAAAATAAGGAGAAATATAGAGAGCAGGGGAATCAGTAGAGCGGAGCAACTGCTTTTTTTTGCATGTTGGCCAGCTGCAAAATGCGCGCCAAGCATTTTTACGAGCATCTTTTGCTAAGTAACACAGACACAGATACAGATACAAATACACGAGTAGGTGACCGTTGTCGTTGTTGTTTATGTGGATCTGCGATTGTTAAGAAATGCGTCATCAAGATGCCGGCTGTGAGCCAAGATCATGACTTGCATGCCAGAATTTAGGTAAGGCGACACTTTTCCGTACAAAAACACACCCAAAAAGGCACTTCAGTCTGGGATTCAGATTCACAGTCAGTTAATAAACAATGCGCGCTTTACTTCCTCTTTAAACAACATTTGTATTCAAATCGAAATGAAAATTGAAGAAGAAACATCAACCGATTCGAAGCGACGACAAAAAGCGAATGACTCTTTGTTGCTTGCTCTTAACATCTAGTCACTAAGGCGGCGAGAGCGTGGAGAGTTGGGAGAGTAGCGCTCAACCCCCACCAAAACGCTCCCTCTCGCTCTGTAAACTGGTAAGAACGCTATAGTTGAATGCCCCGACTTAGGGGTACCCAATAATCACTGTACCCTCTAAACTCGATTTAAACCATTTTTGGTATATGGGTAAGATTTTTAAAAACCTATTACGCCATAAAAAAGAATTTTTTCCTATCAAAAAATGTTACTGCTACTGTTTGGGAATACACATATTTTACTTCATGAAATTCAGTTATTCAAATGAACGTCTTCACAGGCAAAAGATCATAGATGTAATTGCAGATCAAGAAGAAATAAATAATAATAGTTTTTAGGTAATTTAAGGTAAATATTTAAGACTGGCACGGGCCTATGAAACTTTAGAGGACCTCCCTGTTACATTCTTTGCCAGAAACATAGGCTATCCTTTTACTCAACGAGGGTATACAAAGTTGAAGCAAGGCTTTAAATGCACTTCCTCTCTCTCTCGTTCCCTCTCCATGCTCTCTTGTTAAAATTGAGCGACGGAAATTATCAATTGGAGCAAGTAGTCAGTACAAGTAAAGCAGGAACTGGCACAGTCTGCCTGTGTGGGTATGCAATGGCTTTGTTCGCTCCCCTAGCACTCTCTAGAGTTCTCACTTCCTATACATTTCCAGGATGTGACTAGATGATGTGACGAGATAAGATGCAGCTGTATGCATTATCCTCATGACGCGTGCCTTGTCATCACACTTGTCCTCTCGCACCTCCACAAACACACAATTGGAAGGGGAAGAGCAAAGAGACGGAGTTCGTCTTTAAAGATTTCCTTCTTGTCAAAAGTTAGCCAACAACACCCTTCAGCTAACCTTCACCACAGATTGAACACACGCATGTATTGGTTTTCAGGGAAAGTCCCCCCTCCCCCCGTAAGGACTTCCGCTCACCTGGCTCGCCTAATTAGCACTCTCTTGCACAGACACGCTTACTATTAGTTTGTGTGCCAGTATTAGTGGACTTGCCCAAACTGATGACGTATCAACCTTTTGGGGCAGACCAACCGGCTTTCGTCTTACTTTGAATACCTGTAGTGCAGCTGAAACTAAGAGAAGAAGAGAATAAAATAGAGAGAATCACTTAATGTTCCCGTGAGTATAGAATTCACGAGGGCAGGTAGGAAAACATCAAAACACGTTCCATTCAATGCACGCCTTTGGGGAAGCGAACAGGTGCGGATCAGCGAATATGAGGGTTAAGTCTAGTAAAAATCCAATTTAACCTTTTCTAAAACCAATTATAATTTAAATTTGTCTTCTTTCAATCTTAAGCACTTGTTTACTATTTTTTCTTTATAACAAATTTAATTGGATACTTCTAGCTACTGGATATGCTGAAGTTCTACACCCGGTTCGAGATCAACGACGTCACCGGCAGCTCTCTCACCGATCACGACATGACCCAGCTGCACTACAAGAAGATCACCTCGTTGCAGCGGGCGGTGTTCGCCAAGTTTCCCAGCCTACGAGTTTTTGCTCTGTCCAATGTAGCCACAGTAGATAACCGGGAGTCGTTGGAGCAGCACTTCGGTGGGTTAGACGGCAAGGGACTCCTCCAGATCGCTACGTTCCTGAATTTGGTACCCGAAGAGGTGGCGGCACCCTTGGACTGGCATCGTGTGGATGAGCAATTTCTGCGCGAGCTGCTAATAACGCGACACGAGCGGCGTTGCTCGCAGCTGGAGGCACTTAATGAGATGCCCCTGTATCCCACAGAGCAGATCATCTGGGATGAAAACGTGGTGCCCTCGGAATATTATACCGGAGAGAGCTGTTTGGCACTGCCCAAGCTTAATCTACAGTTCCTGACCCTTCATGATTATCTGCTTCGAAACTTTAATCTTTTCCGCTTGGAGTCCACCTATGAAATCCGGCAGGACATTGAGGATGCCGTGAGCCGCATGTTGCCCTGGCAGTCGGAGGATGGTGATGTTGTCTTTGGAGGCTGGGCAAGAATGGCCCTACCCATAGCCAGCTTTGCGGTTGTCGAGGTGGCCAAGCCTCATCTCGGTGAAAAGAAGCCTTCGAGAGTACGTGCGGATGTGGGGGTGACACTGTCCGTACGTCGAGAGATCAAGGCAGAATGGGAGAACCTACGAAAGCACGACGTCTGCTTTCTGATAACCGTGAAGCCAACGCAGCCATATGGCACCAAGTACAAACACCGAGAGCCATTTATTCCGCAGGTCGGTTTGGTTAGTGTGCGTGGGTGCGAGGTGGAGGGAATGCTGGATGCCAATGGACGGGTCATAGAAGATGGTCCGGAGCCAAGGCCTCAGTTGCCAGGCGAGCAGCGTTGTTATCGCGTGTGGCTGGACTCTAATCAATACCGTTTGGATATGGACGATCTGCAGGAGGTAAGTATCAGGAGGCGGTGTTCCTAACCATATCACATTTAATACCCTCTTAATTCAGGGTGCCGACGATGTGTACGAAAGCTTCAACATCCTGATGCGTCGCAAGCCAAAGGAGAATAACTTCAAGGCCGTGTTAGAAACCATCCGTCATCTAATGAACACAGAATGTGTGGTTCCGCCTTGGCTGCACGACATCCTCCTGGGCTATGGGGATCCTGGAGCTGCCCACTATAGTAACATGTCCAATCAGGAGCGCAGTCTCGAGTTCAACGATACCTTCTTGGACTACAAGCATTTGGAGGCCAGTTTTCCCAGCTACAATTTGAAATGTGAGGTATCAGAAGAAAAGCGCCTACCGCCCTATCGACTTATATTTGAGGATGTGCCTATCCATAAGGAAAGCGATGAAGACGAGAGTGAAGACAAGGTTGAGCAGGAATTGACCAAATCAATTGTGGTGCAGCCATATAAATACGAGGCTAGGGGACCTTATCCCAGTGATAAGCCCAAGCAGTGAGTATATCAATTCTTCAAATTTGGTTTTTAACTGAATTGAACCTGTTTAACTTTCCCATATTTTTCAGAAACTCTATCCCATTTACTCCCACTCAAGTCGAAGCCATTCGAGCAGGAATGCAACCAGGGCTGACACTGGTGGTGGGTCCTCCTGGCACGGGTAAAACCGATGTAGCCGTGCAAATTATATCGAATATTTACCACAACCACCCCAACCAGCGCACACTGATTGTGACCCACTCCAATCAGGCGCTGAATCAATTGTTCGAAAAGATCATGGCTCTGGACATCGATGAGCGACATCTGCTACGTCTCGGTCACGGAGAAGAGGCCTTAGAAACAGAGAAAGACTACAGTCGCTATGGACGAGTCAACTATGTGTTGGCCAAACGCATGGACTTGCTTAGCCAGGTGCAGCGCCTGCAGGAGGCGCTCGGCGTGAGTGGGGACAACGCTTACACCTGTGAGACTGCCGGCTACTTTTACCTTTACAATGTAATGGCGCGCTGGGAGAAGTTCCAGAGCCAAATGAGCGTGCACAGAGACGAGGCAGATGCAGAGAAACTGAGATCCGTATTTGCGAAGGAGTTTCCCTTTAGCAAATTCTTCGCGGATGCTCCACAGCCTTTGTTTAAGGGTGCGAATTATGAGGAGCTCCTGGACACAGCCTGCTCCAACTTCCGATACATCTCGGACATTTTTAACGAATTGGAGGAATTCCGCGCCTTCGAACTGCTGCGCACAGGTCTGGATAGATCTAAATATCTGCTCGTCAAGGAGGCAAAGATCATTGCAATGACTTGTACGCATGCGGCACTAAAACGTAAAGAACTGGTCAACCTCGGTTTTCGCTATGACAACATCCTCATGGAAGAATCGGCCCAGATCCTAGAGATTGAGACGTTCATTCCCTTGCTGCTGCAGAATCCGCTAGATGGACTAAACCGTCTAAAACGTTGGATCATGATCGGGGATCATCATCAGCTGCCGCCCGTGATTAAGAACATGGCCTTCCAGAAGTACTCCAACATGGAGCAGAGCTTGTTTACCAGACTCGTGCGGCTCGGGGTTCCAACTGTAGATCTGGATGGACAGGGTCGTGCCCGGGCTAGCATCTGCTCGCTGTACAAGTGGCGCTACAAGAAGCTAGAAGATCTGCAGCACATTTTTGAGCGGGATGAGTACAAAAAGGCAAATGCGGGCTTTTCCCACGACTACCAGCTTATCAATGTGGAGGACTTCAAGGGCGTGGGTGAAAGCGAGCCCAATCCATACTTCTATCAGGTGAGCAGCCATTTTACTTGTATTTACTTTGTATTTAATTAAGTTCTTAACATAATTAACTCAAAAAAAAAACCCTAGAATCTTGCTGAGGCGGAGTACATTGTTGCCGTCTACACGTACATGCGCCTGCTGGGCTATCCCGCGGATAAGATCTCTATACTGACTACTTACAACGGTCAGAAGCATCTCATTCGCGACGTTATCAACGCTCGCTGTGGGAACAATCCGCTCATCGGTTGGCCGCACAAGATCACCACCGTCGATAAGTACCAGGGCCAGCAGAACGACTACATTCTTATATCTTTAGTGCGCACCAAGGCGGTGGGACATTTGCGAGATGTGCGACGTCTGGTAGTGGCCATGAGTCGTGCACGTCTTGGCCTTTATGTATTTGGGAGAGTCTCTCTATTCAAGAACTGTCTGGAACTCCAGCAGACTTTTAAACTGGTAAGATAAAAATGTGTATTTTATGGACTTCAGTAGATACTAATTTTTTTTTTTACAGCTCACACAGCGACCTCTAAAGCTAAGTCTGGTCCCAGATGACAGCTACCCCACTGATCGATTAGCCAGTGCAGATGTGGCTAGTAAAGCTATAAAAACTGTGGAAAACATGTCCGAAATGGCGCAATTCGTCTACGAGCGTTATATGGCCAAAATGGAAGACCTCAAGGGCACTCTGCCTACCGAAGAAGAGCTGCTCGCCATGCGTAACCAGCTACCCCAGGAAGACGAGGACAATGTTGCCGAGGAAGCTACCGAGGAGCCGCCAGAGAAAAGGGCAGCCAAAGAAGCGCCCGTGTCAACGAAGAAGACATCAGAAGCCTTTAAGCCCACGCCCATTCTAAACGAGATAAACGAAGAGATGGATCAAAGCGAACCGGTTGAACAGGTTGAAAATGCCGAAGAGCCAACCAAGGATTCTGTCGAAGCTACAGAGTCCTAGTTGTAGTTATGTTGCTCAAATAATTTAATTTCAATAAGTTCCAACAATGTTTATGTGACAAATGCAAAACGCATAAACCACACACCATAAATTTCCGTCTACTTCTTGGGTGCGGTTATGCCCTCCAGCTGAGCCTTCAGCTGGGCGTTGGTCTTCTTTAGGAAGGTTATCTCCTCGGTAAACTTCTTCTCCTCGGAAGCTCGCAGCTCGGCATTGCGCCGCTCGGCTTGCTCCTGCTTCAGCTTCATGTCTGCGATGATCTCCTCGAGCGCCTCTTTGTCCAGTTCAAGCGTCTTGACCCGATCACGAAGCATTTCTTTTTCTTCGTGCGCCTGCAAAGCTTTGCGCATGCCGAAAGCCACGGAGCTGCAGTAGAGCGTTTCGTAAGCCTCCATGGACATGGCGATCTCGTCGCGTATGCGCAGTAGCAGCAGGCCGCGCTCCGAGCAGTTGATGGTCACCTGGCGAATAATCTCGTCTGCAAGGCAGTAATGTTTATGATAGCTAGAAAACGGGAAAGATCTGATCTTACCAAAACACTGTGAGTAAAGTTCGCGGCGCACGGGACAGATGCCCGTTTCGCGCGCCTGAGTCTGCTGCAGCCTAGTGTCTAGCATCTCCTGCAGATTTATTACATCCTGGCGTGTGGCTGGAGTGCTGGACACGGACTGCTGCCATAATTGGCCATCCTCTTCCCAGCAGCGAGGTGGTAGAATTGAATTCAGTATTTCCTCGGTCTCCCTTTTTGAATCTAGCAAAGCGCCCGCAGTTTGAGGCCTTTTCATCTCTATCTCCGTGAGCGGAGCGCCACCCTTCTTGTCCGGGTGCTTAACTACCAGCACCGGATTGTTGTAGCGCACCAGGGTCTGAAACTGACCCACACTGGTTATGTCTAGCTCCTCCATTTCGCCGATATTCCTTTCTTTTAATTTAAAACTCAAGAAATATATATAATCTAAACTTGTGTGTGCTTCGGAATATCGACAGGTTTGTTCAACGATTCTGTTGATTGGAAAATCGGAAATGCCTGTGCTGCGAAAAATTCCTGGGGGTGCGAGTTTATTATTCTTGCGCCGGTTAGCAACCTTCTGGCACTGGGCAACGCCTCGAATTTTGTTTATTGATGTAGCAAATATCAACAGGTTGGAAAACTCAGTTTAAAGGAATTTTCACCATTTTAATTTCGATGGAATTACGCTCCCATAGTGACGGTTATTTGATTCAGGTTCTTTTATATAGGCTTTAGAGATTTGATATTAAAGTTCTGATTAGTCAGTTAAAGTAGATTTCCCCGACCAAAGTAAATAATGCTTTAATTTTACAAGCCTTAAGTTCTATTGCTGCATTAATTTAATTGTTTCACCAACAATTTTCAATTTCTTTGTCCAATCTCCTCCAGTTAAGTAGAGCAATTAAACTTCGTTTTACTTATTTGTATAATATGTTTAATGTAAATGCAAACACAATGAGTTTCTGTCTCCGTTCTTGAGGATTCGAACAGCGGTCAAAAGTAACTTAGTTCGTTGCACGTTTCCAATTCTCTCCAACTTAAAATATGAACTTATGAGTATGAGCAAGTTTGGCTAATTAAACTAGGATCTAAATAACTAAATGTTAGCGACACAACTAAACGTAGTACGGAATTGGAAGAGCAAATAATTTAGTCTTTTTAGTGGAACTTAGGCTTTATACGCATTTGATCGCCATTAAAACTAATATCGCGGAAGTATTCGAGTGGACTGAACTGTATAGATGCAGATGTAGATGTACATTAGTAACTCTTACATATTCATATCGTTTCATTACGGCTAGACATTGTCAATATATAATAGTACATATATATTATTGTCATTATTTATGCGGGAAAATTTCCTCTATGGGTTCTTGTAGTTCTGTTTCTGCTCCTGGCTCTCTATCCTGGTTACTTGAGTTCTGGATAAGCGCTGGCTTACCAGATACAACTACGCTATGTATATACGCTCTTGCTATAAGTAATTGCATGTGCTATTTACGTGTCTAGATTATTGTTGGTGTAAACGCAACGGCGAACTCAAAGATGCAACAGAACAGATTCGGTTTAAATCAACCACGGCAAGGTTTGTCTTCTACACAGATACACAGCTACTACATAATTTACACATCTTTTGGGCCTCAGCTCCCATTCAGGCTTAGATCAACTCGGCCACGGCATCATCTCCGTCCCGAATAGGTGCCTGGAAAGTGGATCCTGTGAACTCGTACAGCTGCAAAGTTAGCAAACAAGTTTTAGTTTTATACTTTTGTTGTTATTCCTGATTACTCACCGATGGCGCGCGATTGTTCCGCAGCGTGGCATAGTCCGCAAACTCATGCATGTGGGGATCGACACGGGCCAGCAGCAAACCAGCACCACCCACTCCTCCGGCACTAGCACCACCACCACTGCGCATTGAACCACCGCCGGCTCCACCGCCGCCAGTTAGGCGATTCTGATTATTACGCGGCTGAATGGTGGCATATGTGTTGTCCACTGACTGACCCACGTGATGGACCTGCTCGAGTGAGCTGCGATGGTCCATGTGGCCCGGCGCCTCAGAATTCGAAATGTGATCAGGCTCTGAGAAGACCTGCATGGTCAGCTCCTGCTCCTCATACAGTTTCAGTTTTCTAGGAGAAAAATTAATCTGATATCAAAACTATTTCCATGCCCGCCTAATATAGTCACTTACTGTTCAATCCATAGCGGATTTTCGGTGGTGTTCAGGTCCTCGATAATCTGTTTCTTGATCAGGGCCTCCTTGCGACGAGTCTCCACAGGCACAGACAGATTCCAGTGCTTCAGGCAACAGCAAAGGACAATGAAGCTAATGACGCCCACAAAAAGGACGATGACCAGGGCCACCAGTCCAGCCACAGCTAGATCAAACTCATCTTGAACAATGGCTATGTAGGCGGGCACCACGTTTTCAATGGCAAAGCCGGCATAATAATCCTAAAATACAATAAATATTTGGTAAAATAATAAAATGGAAGTTAACTTTAAAGAAACCACCTTTAGATAATCGTAGTTCCTGTCGATATCCTTTAGTATTTCATCAACGGGAGCTATCTGCTGACTCTGGGGGTCCACGGCATGGAAGTAGAGATCACACCAATCCATGCGGATGCGGCCAATAGAGTCCAAATGAAAACGTATCTCGTCCACAATGATGCGATGCTGGGTTGCATTACGTAACTCGGCTATGATCTCCTCTTGCTCCTGATAGACTTCTTCCGGCGGACGTGAAAGGATTACACGGACTAACTGAGTGCCATCAAAGACCCAGATCTACATTAAATAAAACAATAATTATAATCAAGCTTTTATCAAGAAAAGCAACCTCTTGTAGTATATTTTTTTTTTGAGTACTTACATTAACTTTTGTGCTAGCTGATCTCTGGGGTTGCTCCAGTTCTCGGGCCACAATTTCCAGTTCGAATCGATCCTGGTTGTACTCAGCCATTATTGTGTTGGCTGTGATACTGCCGTCCTGCGAGATGGCAAACGGACTAGGAACAATCGAGCCGGTGGCTTTGGTGGCTCCAAACTTATATAGATTTGAAGCGATGATCATAAACTCAATCTTGGCATTCTTTCCCTGATCTGCATCAGTTGCATTAACCAACGCAATAGTTGCGCCCATCTTGGCATTAGCATTTACTCCAGCATAGTAGACGGGCTTCTGGAACACGGGAGGATTATCGTTCACATCAAGCACTGTGATGGCAACCTTTGCGACAGTGTTGTCCCGATTTAAGGTTTTGATCGAGAAGGAGGCGCGTTCCTCTTCTGAGATGTGTAAGTCCGCCTTGATGCTGGCCAGGATGTACAAAGTGTACACATCCGTTTCTTCGCGATCAAGACTTTTGTTAGTGTAAATATCACCCGTCAATTTGTCGACATAAAAGGCACCATCCTCATTGCCCAACAGCATGTAGTAGAAGATGTCCCGGTTGTGCTTGCTCCTCGAGGCAGCTTGAATGTGTCCAATTTTCACATCTCGACCGCTGTTCTCATTGATTGACACCTTATACGGATTAGAGGCATCAGGGAACTCCGGACGATTTTCGTTGGCATCAACAATACTAACGCTGAGCAGACGTAGCGATTCGAAAGGAGGATTACCCGCATCCCGGGCCACAAGGATAATGTCGTAGCTATCGAATAATGTAAGCATTATAAGAGTTTCTTCCTAAAACTAAACTACACTTACTTGGCTCGGTTCTTGCGGTTCAGCTGCGTCCTGGCTCGCAGTTCCCCAGTCACCTCATCGATCTTAAACTCCCCGGTCTGCTGCTCGTTTCGGTTGTTCACCTGAAGGTGGTAGCTAATCTTACCGTTCTCCTCCGTATCATTATCTATTGCCCTAACGGTGAGCAGTAGATAATCCGGTTCAACTATATCTCCGGGTATCTCAATGGTGGCATTGGACAATGCGGGTATAATAAACTCCGGCTTGTGACGATTTACTCTTAGCACTGTGATGATCGCTTTGGCTGTGCTTTCCATCGTGCCCGATCCCTGGGTGTCGCGTGCTGAAATGGTCAACTCGTAGGCGCCATGTTTCCCGGACAAACTCTGCGCCGGATAAACAATGCCCGACTGGGCATCGAGCTTAAAGAGGGCCAATTCATTGCCAGCCGTGATAATGTAGCGTACATCTCCATACAGGCCCTCATCCTGGTCGATGGCTTGCACTTGCAGCAAGGCGGCCGGTGGTTGATAGGCGGCATTCTCCGCCACCGTGGAGTTGTACACATCCCGCGTAAAAACGGGAGCATTATCATTGACATCCAAAATATTGATGTGGATCTTAAGATGGTATAGATATTTAAAATACATATTATCATTATTAATACAACTCCGGTATCTGAAGTTAATCGAATATTCTACTCACCGTTGCCGTGGCTGATTTCTGGACAGTGGCAGGAGCCTTATCCTGGGCCACAACTGACAGCGTGAGCTCCTTAATCTGCTCGCGATCAAGAATAGAGGCATTGGCCACCATCACATTGCCAGTATAGGCATCAATGCTAAAGTATTTGTTATTTTCCCCGATTAGCGTGTATGTGATTTCTCCAAAGACGCCCACATCTCCATCTTGGGCCTCCACTTTTCCCGCCACAGTGCCTCGAGGTGAGTTCTCCGTTACATTGAAGTAGTAATCGAATTGAGAGAACTTTGGGTCGTTATCGTTTAGGTTAATAATATCCACTACCACGTCAGCGGTTGCTGTCAAGGCGGGCACACCCGTATCACTGACGGTGGCCAGGAATTTAACCTCCTTAATTGCCTCGTAATCGAGTCGGGCAATTGTGTAGATCACACCGCTGGTCTGGTTAATGGCAAAATAGTCATTTGCACTAATATTGAACTCTCCAATGCTAGAATCCTCATCGGTGGCCTGCAGAGTGGTCAGTACGGTGCCCACCGGCTGCTCCTCCACCATCTGCAGCTTGATCTGTGGCTGCTCCACACTCCATGGTGCATTAAAGCGCTAAATAATAAATTTGTTTAAAATTATTTGTGGCTTTTGAAACAAAGTCAAATTTAATGGCTTAAAATTTAAGATAAATTTCTACCCATTCCTTTTATCTCCTCGTCGGAAGAATGCTCAATGAGCTATCCTACACCAAGCTTAAGCTGCTTTTCATCAATGTCTTTGCCATATTGCACAGTGCCACCTATTTAAATGTATATCGCTTATATGCAGACTTGAAAAACGTTAAAGCTGGTGTTGATGGCTCTAATGAGGAGATATGGATCAGGGAGATCTTCACTTTCCTCATCAGTGGTCTTATAGTGGTGCGCTTTTTTCTATGTTTTGTCGGATTGGCTTCGAACATTGTAGCCATGTAAGTGAATTAGCTAAAATGGTTTCCCTAAATTTAGAATTTTATTCACTGCTATTTCAGATACCCCATTCTAACCAACTCCCAGGCTGAGATGCTTATGCCCACCATCATAGTGCAGGCCATTGACAATGTCATCCTTAATCTCTACGAGATTATTTTGGGCTATGGCAGTTTGTGCTATCTGTATCCTGATAGTACGGCTATTTTTATCTTTTTTCTTTTTAAAATGGGAGTCAAGATTGGCTGCAGCATCTCTGCCTTGTATTTATAATAAGCTACATTTTGTTGTATAAACTTCTTTATGCAATCAATTTTCTTCTTAGAAACATTTATTCGGATCAGCATAATCACTTGGCCACTCTAGTCACCTTCAACGAGGAATCGCACAGCTTGGGACCAGACAGTGTGGATGAAGTGGAGTTGGCAAACCAAAATTTTTATGTTTCTTAGCTATTTGTCTTTTTTTGATAGAATCCAATTGAATAATCAATGGCTCAAAATATTAATCTAAATGTAATTGTTGGATTAATCCTAAGTTAATTTATCTCTTCTAAATGCAAATATCTCTGCTACTTACCGGTGGAATCTTGTTGACATCAATGATCTGGATGATTAGCAAACCGCGACCCTAAAAAACAGAAAGTTTTTAATAGCAAATTAAGGATTACCAAGTGAAATCCATACCTGCTGGACATTTGGAGCTGTGCTGTCCGTGACCAGTACATTGATCCTCATGACGGCAAAAAGATTGCGATCCAACTGCTTGTTGACCGAAACCTTTCCGTTTCTGGCAATCGCAAAGTACTCCTTGAATTGATCATAATGTGGCAGCTCCTTACCCTCCTTATCGATTGCGGTTATGTCATCGGTGGCTGCGAACTCCAACGCATTATGGCTGGCAACATCCGGATCAAGGGCGATTAATGTGTACACCAGTTGGCCGGGAGGGGCATCCGCACGTACTTCAGCGTGCTGGGTGGCCGGTACGAAGTACGGATCTTTATCATTACTATTCTGCACATTTATGGTCAGAGTGGCGGTTCCCGTGAGACTTGGCGTTCCCAGATCAGAGGCCTGAACCTGCAGCTGATAGGTGTTGCGGCGATCAAAGTCCAGTTTCCGGGAGACGAACACCTCGCCGGTCCGTTCGTCGATGCCAAAGTCATCGAAGCTGCCCTGCTGAATGCGGTATCGCAGTTCAGCATTCTTGCCCGTGTCCAAATCGGTGGCATGCACCCGCTCCACGCTCGTTCCAATCTCAGAGTTCTCCTCGACCACAGCACTGTAGCTCTGCTGCTCGAAACTGGGCACATGGTTGTTAACATCCCGCACCGTGATGTTCACCCCGCAGTGGGCCGTGAACAGTCCATCGTTGGCCTCCACAACGAAGATGAGCTGATCGCTGTTCAAATTGGTCACATCCAGAGTTGCGTTCGGCCTAATGCTGATCTGACCAGTCTCGCGATCAATGTCAAAGATGCCCTCAACCTGCTCGGAGCCCCGGATTCTGTAGCTAATTCTGGACATGGTGTCCGCATCCCGTGCCTTGACGATCAACGGGGAATCAAAAACCACAGCACCCTCATCCACACTGGCCCTGTACAGCGGACTCTCGCAGACGGGCGGAGAGTCGTTGGCATCCGTCACGGAGATTCGGAGGGACACAACTGAAGCCGAACCACGACCATTGTCATCGGTGGCCTGCAGAGATATATGAAAATTTAATTTTAAAAAATACTTTTAGCGGCCTAATTTACCAAGCTTTGAATTTGTAAATATTCACTTAGTTTATCATTAATTGAAATTAAATAATTTATGTACATACATATATAATTAAATTATTTAGTACTTTTAAGCTGTCAATTATTCGCTGTACTAGTGAAAATTATAAATAATATTTGTATACCATAATTCATTTATTCAGCAAGTAGTCATAATTATTATAGAACTCACATCTTTATGCAAATAGAAAAGATTAAAAATGTGCGCTCAATTCAAGGGGTGTTTATTACAAACAAGTGGCTGAAAAATATTCTGTGTTTACGTTTTAAAAACATAAAATGCGGATAATTAGTTGATGGGAGAAATTTAAATTGCCCCACTGCTACAGACTTTTATTTATTCAACCCGTTCACTGTTCAAAGTTCCCAAAACAGTAACTTCATTATAACTTTTAAATATTTTATATATATTAACGAAACAAATAATTTTTTATTTAATTTTCCGGGTTTTCATCAGTCTTAAGGTGTCCTTAATGATGTATCGTGATATTTCATGACCGCGTGCCTGAATTTTAATCCGCTTTTGTTATTTATTATCCACATGTTAAAGAAGAATCGGCCCACGTCAAAGTCTCCCACATGATTTTTCCTACCAAGCTACGCACATAAAAACCTTGCGACCCGCACACGAAGATTGAGACAGTCACTCACCTTGTATGACAAGAAGTACGTGGTCTCCGATTCGTAGTCCAGACACGTCTGCGGTGCCTTGTCGTCATTAGCAGTCGCTGCGGAAACTCCAGATGGAGCTGCGTGTGGAACTGGAGCTGATAGAGGAACCGATGATGCCGGCTCCTCTGGCGCCTGGGTGATTAACGTGTACTGGACGGTGGGCTCGGTGCCAATCTCCCTGGGAGCCGCCTCCATGGACAGCATTTCCAGGTGACCCTCGCCGTCCTCCTCATCATTCTCATCCTCGTGCAGATCACGTCGCTCGCGTCTGTTGCTTTCCCCCTCGCCATGGCAATTGGCGAGGCTAATAACACCTGTCTGTTCGTTGACATGGAAGAGTTCGGCGCCGGTTCCGGATAGGCTGTAGCGAATGCCGGAGTCACCGTAACTGCCGGAGTCCACATCCCGGGCCGTTATGGTGGCTATGTACTGGCCCGGAAGTGCCGCCTCCGAAACGGATGCAGAGTAGCTCTCCTGCTCAAAAACCGGCTTATTGTCATTGGCATCGAGCACGCTCACCGTAATCGTTGCCGTGGAGGAGAGCCGTGGACTGGTGTCCGTCTCCTCGGCCACCACCAGCACGATAAATTTGCGCTGGTTGGGATTCTCGTAGTCCAGAGTGCCGTTCGCTACGCGAATGTTTACTTGCGAGTAGCCGGTGACGAGCTTTGGTTCCACGTCAAACACTCCGGATACGTCGTCCAAGTGCAGGGCAAACTTCGAGTTAATGCCCACATCAGCATCGCTGACGCTCATGTCCAGGGCGAGGGGTGTGCCGGGTGGCGTGTTCTCCAACAAGGATACGGAGTACTCCTTATGGTTGAACACCGGCGGCGAGTCATTTACATCCCTTATGGTCACCGTTGCCTTGGCCGTAGCACTCGTCAGTGGATCATCACTGGGAACTCCATTCACAAGCTCCCGGGCACGAATCACCAGCGAGATTATGCCCGTGGAATCCTCCAGAGCTTCCCGATCAAGCGGTTTGGCCGTGCGCAGTTCTCCGGATTGAGCGTCCAGCAGGAAGTAATCATTGGGATCTGTAAAGGGAAATAAGTAAAAGGATTTATATAGTTTAGTTATTGCAAATTTGAGAACCTCTTAGCTATTCATAAAACAGTGACTCACTCGTTCGCAGATCATAGACAATCTTCCTTGGTTCACCCGTGTCTCCATCCCGAGCATGGACAGTAAGAACCAAGGTGTTAATGGGACTGTCCTCATCGATCACCGTGGAAAGGGAGCCCTGAAATACGGGCGGTTTATCCTGGACATCCTTCACTCTGGCCTCGAATGTGGTTTGGGTCTTGTGCGGCCCATCGGTGGCTTCGATCTGGAAGTGGTAGACCATCCGCTGGTTGTAGTTCAGAGTGTCATTGAGCACAACTGCTGCTTCCAGAACGGTGGCCTCTCGCTTAATCACATGCAGTCGGAATCTGTTTGTGAATCAATGGCTTAGTTGTACATTTTTGCTGTTTATGTATTTTGTATAGCGACTTACTTGCTACAAGCTTCTGGACTTTGCTGCTGCGGCAAACATTTCAAGTCAAGACTGTCTCCGGCTATATCCCGGTCCTTAACAAGGATCTTATCAAAGATGGTTGTTCCCACCGCAGCATCTTCGTTAACATCGGCCTCGTAAGGGGTCTGCAGAAGGATGCATAAAAGTATTAATAAATTAATATAGGATGCAAATCAAATGGTTTACTCACATTCTGAAACTCTGGCGGATTATCGTTGAGGTCAAGAATAATGAAAGTGATAGGCACTTCCACCACATTATCCCGCTCCGACTCTCCCTCCGGATCAACGCGATCCCTGATCGACACCAGGAACTTCAAGGTATCCTTCTCTTCACGATCCAGTGGTTTAATCAGCGTAATATTTCCGGAAACTGGGTCAACGCTAAAGTGATCTGCACCGATGGCGCCGTACGTGACGGGACTGCCCTCCGGATCATAGGCTTCTAGCCGGAAAACTACAGTGCCCACAGTGACATTCTCATACAGAATTATGTTGTTCAGGGTCTGCGTGAATACTGGAGGCAGATTTGTCTCTCCTGGTTGAGAAAATGAAAAGAAAATATACATGACATTGGGTTTTTTTTTTGAGGAATTTCTGCGTGGTGCTCACCCTTGGCCAGGCTCAGGCTCAGGCAGATCATTAATAGCCCCAGAGGGAGCTTCATTTTGGTGTCTGCAAAAAAAAAACAAATAAACGTAAATTGTTTGTTTAATTTTTTAGTGGCGGCGAAAAGTGGAAGCAATAATCTTAAACAAACAAGTTGTGTTTGGGAGACAAATTGGAGACGTAAAAATCGTAAAAAAAAAACTGCATAAAGTCGAAGTTTTCAGTGCTCTTATCAGATATTGAAACAACCTTCACAATTTAATGACAAATATATTTTAAGTTGTTTAAATTCAATTAAAATATATTCGTTCAGAGAGAAGAATTCGTGGCATAAGAGTTTTAAGCTCGTAAAGGATATTAAATCTTATTTCCTCGTGTAAAATAACGATTTTTACCTATTTCCCTATTATGAGCAGTCGAGCAGAGTATATTAAAATCCGTTATCATACTTTGGGGTCTGGTATATTGTTATTTGATTTTTTTTCGGCTTTGTGCTTGTTTTTGTTTTTCGTCATTTGGTGGCATAAACAAACAATAAAGATAAATTAAATTTCATTTTGTGCTGAAAATTCAATTAGCTGACAATGCACACGGGCCAGTAAGAGCGTGACAACGATGATGCGGATAATGGTGGTGGTGGTGGTGGTGGTGGGGCTATGGCTGCTGATGATGATGATGATGGCTATAACAACATAACGTTGTTGATGACAAGCAGCAACAAGAACAACAACAATAAGAGGCAACAAGCAACATTGTGGCAAATTGTGCACTTTAACTGCGGGCTGGGGGGTGGTTGGCCAACAGGGGAGGGGGTTCCGAGCCCGGGAATCGCCCGAAGGCGCCAACATTCCTGATGCGTCCGTCCATTTGTCCGGCACGCACCACCTAACCAAGAACCAGCATTGCGAGCTCCTGCACCAGAGGGGCACATATCTGGCAACCAGCAGCCGGGCCAGCCAGGCGA